AGGACCACAAAGAAAGAATGGTAGAATTTCATATGATTTTTATGAAATACGTAGTGTGTTAAACGGATTCAATGTGATACTTTTTAATTCAGTCATGCAAAAGATTATGCACTACGTGAGTCTGTTATGGGAAATCGCATGAAAAATTCGGAATTCTCATAACATTTTTATACTTTGTGCAGTTTAATTAGCAACAAGAAATTTTTGCCATTTTCTCTTTCTTGAAGCTACAGAATTAGTATCTACTTATAATTGTCGTACATCTCTTTGTTCCCTCAAATCGAGCAAATGGAAATGGAAGAACACCGCTCCGCTTTGTGCGTGATCATGTGCGATACCAGTTGAACTGTCGATTTCCAGAATAGTGCTTTGGCATAAATTGGCCTATTTGAAGGCAAGAAGTTCAAATCTGAGACTCCTAGACTTCCTTCTCTGAAGCTTTGCGAAAATGAGATTTTCAGTGGAATATTTCCTCAATTAAAGAATAACTCAAGTATTTATAAACGTTATGCCAGATGTTCTTAACTATGGACCACAGCTGAGTATTTAACTTTCGTGCAATTAATGTTGCATGTATATACTAAAATTAATATTTTTTTCTGCTATGCTTTTGAGTAAATTTCTTAAATAAAAGTCCTTTCAATCTATTTCACACTGATGTACTTCACATAAGAGACTCTATAGAAACCTCACCATTCGTTTTCGGAGATCCTTCATATTAAAATTATTTTAGAAGAACCCAAATTACGTTAAACAAGGAATTTGATTACTACTTTGAAATTGGATGGGAATGTGAAATAACTAGTATTTTAAAATGAAACCTCTATATTTTAAAGTCAAATGATAATTTATGTCGTAATTAGTAGTCGTAAAATGCGGATGCATAATTTATGCTCTTTAATGACATCCAGTGTTGTAGTTTTAAAATAAAATGCACAAAACAGCTTTTTGAAATTATAGTCTTAGTTAAAGGCACTAGGCTATTAATATATTAATAAATAGCATATTACTATATATATAGCAAACTCAATTAACACTGAGGAGCTAAAATTTTGAGAGCTATTTTTTTTAAATCTACTCGTGGGATCTTTATAAAACTTGGCAGTTTGATATAATTTTGGTTTTAGAATCGAAATATGGAAAAAACTTGGCATGCCAGTTTGGAAAAAAGTCCGATTTTGTGTCAAAATATCTATATTCGAAAAATGCTATATATAAATCTAATACATATCCTTTCGAGACATGAAGAATGCAAGTTGAATTTTGTTAATCGGCCCAGTAGAACGGGAGATATAGAAGTGTCTTTTTTCTTCCTCGCAGTGTACATTAGTTAAATATGTTATTTTTTAGTTAAATATACCTTAGCAATGATGCTAATAATGCTTCTAATTCTGAAGACTGTTAACAAGGAAGTTTAAGGTTTTGATTTAAAAGCCCGTATTGTTAGCAATAATACTAAAACTATGAGCGAAATTAAAACTCGTTAGAATTTTTTATGTTACATTAGATGTTTCGAACATTCTCTGTTTTTAAGAATATATTCTGCTGTATTTGATGATGTAAAGATAAAAACCCTGCAATGATTAGTTTGACCGCTAAATAACAATATGAGATAAACAATCAATTCTAAATAAAATGTACGCTGTATCGAATTTAGAAAATATTCTTATGCAGTATTCTATTGAAAATGTAAACGCGTATATCTGAAATATTTCAAAAGTATTCGGTTTGTAGAATAACATTATGAGGTTTTACTTAACCTGGAACTAATAAAACTATCAGAACTAACAAAACTATGAATAATCGCTAGATCTTGATGTAACTATAAGTAATGATAAGGTTTTAGAGTAAAAATTTAAGTTAAACTTATAACAGTAATAAATGACAACACAGTTTAAAGCTCAATCGAATGTCGCTCAATAATTCCACCTAAGAGTCAAAATCAACATGCCAGAAACGAAATAATGCAAAGCTAAATAATTACAACTAGCTGAGCTAGCAGGAACTACATAAATGTAACGTCCAGAAACATGCTTTGTCTTAAAATCCAAAACTCTCAGTATAAATACTAACTCATTTAAATTCTAGTGAGGAAATTGGAAAGCAGAAGTTATTCTGAAGATCCAAACATTATACCAATAAATTCCCGATGCCTGTTTTATGCATCGACATCCATTGTTATATATTTTTAATAAAATACATAAATCACCATTTTGAAATTATAGAGTCTTATTTAAATTCACTAAAACTAAAAATATAATGTTAAGCGTTCACGATATTTTTAGTCAAATGGGCCTAAAACTAAAATCATGGTGATGTTCTCGATGTTGAATTTTAAATCAAAATGGTCAGGGAGAAATTACAGTGAGCTGGGCGTAATCATTCGCATATATATCATTTCTAACCTATTTATGAATTTCTAAGGTTTTTGAAAGTCCTAATATAATTCATGTATGGGCTTCTTACGATTTCAGTTTTAGTCTCGTATTATTAAGAATATTTTGGTAGTTCAAAAATTAATTTCTACTCTTTACTGCCTTTAACATAATCTGTGAAACCTTGGAACTTAATAAATCATAAAAAAAGCAAACTATAAAAATCTGGCTAATTTAAATTTCACCACATAAAACATTAATTTCAATATTTGATACAAGCAGACAGAAAAATTGCTTAAAATTATGCAAAAACGTGTTGTGCTTTATTCTGAGTGCTTCTTTACAATTTAGGGTTTTAATGTCATTGTCTATGTTCTACATACAGCTAAAATGATCTGAATCGTAATTTGCGAAAGTTCACATCGATATTATTTAGTATATAATGTGAAACTTAATTATGTTTTAACTACAACCTGTTCTCCCTTTCCGTAAGACAGACGAAGCATTTACATAGAATACTAAATTCCAAAATAAAGCAATATTAAATAAAAGTTTATTAATGGTACTTCTTGCGGTGCAACTAACATATTAAAAATCTAACAAAATGTCTTTACCGCTAGCTACTGGCTGAGTCAACTAATAGATTCAATGTTTAAACAGCCAAACTTCCGCTACCTGAAAACTCTGTTATAAGCGAAATAATTCACCTAAGCAGACTGGCGAAAAGATGGAAACCTCACGGAAATGAAGAGCTTGCAGCTACAATGTCAAAACTCTCTTCCAAACTTACACATTTTCTCATATAAGTTACAGGAAAGAATTAACATAAAAATATCGTGTTATTTAAAATACATCCTAGAAGTATTAAATGAAAATATTCATTGTAATAGTTAAATTTTCTAATATCCGATGAATTACTTTAAGCTTATAAGACAGGAAGAGAGAGAGTGAGAGGAATTACGTTTTATTCACATCTTGTTCTTTAACTTTTGGTTTGTGTCTTAATACTTCCATAACGTTACATCGTGACATCAGCGCATTTAAAATTCATCCGGCTTAGCAACAGTTACTGTTCACACGGTAGATGATTTCTCCTTTACTTTATATACGACATGGTAAATTGCCAATATTCGGATGTTTTCAGTTTGAGAAATAAGACCTTTAATGTTCTTTCCAAATTAAAATTATGTATAGTTTAACAAAATGAGCAATTTAAGAACAATACACTTCCTCCCCATTGTAATTATTTTATTTTCAATAATACTCTTAATTAATAAAATTTAAAATAAGTCTAATGCATACGATACATGTGTGAAATTGATACTTATAATAATTTTCTCTCCGCTGTTGAAATTAATAAAAGATTTCTTTAAGGCACATGTTAGGCAATCGGAATTAAATAATAGGTTGCATCTTTCTCGCCTTAATCAACAAAATTTATTTACTTATTTTAATTTGGAGTGATATTGCCTTAGATTCATATAACTGAAACTTTATATTACCTTTTATGTCAATAATGTTTTTCATCGCATAAACTTTATTTAAACTGAGAACATTTAGAAGCTACAGTAATTAAGACTCCGTTCTTATATATGTAAAACATTAAATTATTGTAATAAATAACGTTTCCGTAAGATGTGTCAGTGATTCCAAATGATTGTGGTCTTCTGGGAAGATAGTGGCCATAGAGAAATAATGCCCCAATGCCGAAGTTCATTTATTTTCTGAGACGTGCTAGTACCTTTCTGAGGTATTCCTCTGGAATGCATAGTCGCCGTGAGACGTTTCGCTGTAGCTTCTAAATGTTCTCAGTTTAAATAACGTTTATGCGATGAAAAACATTATTGACACAAAAAGACTATTACAACTTTTAAATCTACAAGTTATATTTTAAATTACAAGTTACTGCTCTTGGAATTGCCATTTATTCTTGAAATAGTAACTTTTGTCTTCTAAGAATTTTAAAACATCAATTGATCACAATGTAATAAATTTTTATGCTTACGATTCTTTAGTCGAATGATACTTTTCTGTAAGTTAAAAAAGTAGTATCATCAAATATTTTAGGTATTTAGCTTAATACTGAAACTATGAAATTCAATAGGATGAACCGTTTCATGGCGGCCATTTCCCTAAGGCGGCTACCTTTGAAAGTGACTACTATTTCTGAGAACATAAATAAACATCACCATTGAACACCGTTTTGGTAAAACGACCACCTTCACAGAAGACCAAAATCATTTGGAACCACTGGTAGTAGTCTTAAAAAGGATTTGCTTAAAATATTATTTCCTTAATCATGATAATATACTACAGTATATTTCCATCAAACGTTTCTGCTTTGCTCTTATTAACAAAGAAGTGCTAATGGCTACTTCACAAATAGTGTCAATAAACGATTATTACCGTCGTTCATCGGATATTTTTTTCTTTCTCCCAGTTTTCAACATTCATATACATATGTCATCAATGGTCTGATGCTTAAAATAGCCTCCTTCGATCCAAAAAATAATCTTTTTTTCCTTTCCTTTCAACTAGTCGATTGAGAAAGAACATTATACACCGCGAGCTCATTATCTCCTGATGTTGTATCACTCCAATATATTTTTTTGTTCTTTCTTGCAGTTCCGCCGGTGTGGGTTGAAGAGCCAAGAGACAGCGAGGTGGTGCTAGGTTCGCAGGTGCTCCTCACCTGCGCAGCTACAGCTCATCCCCCTCCCCGCATCACCTGGAGGAAGATACAAGGTAGGCCCTCTTCATTTATTCATCCCTCTCAAAAGATGCACTCGTCGAATCTTCGTTGAAGATCTTCTGTCGCTTCTTCTTTGGAGATAAAAAATTCTCTTACGTGTATTGATCTTTGAGGTCGGCGACCTGTTGGGCGCTGAAGATAGTAGGAACCTGTCAGGAATTGTCGGAATCAAAGGGATCTGATTCGCTGATGATTATTCTCAAATATTGTTTTACAAAATTTATAGCCATAATTTATTATATAACTTATGTTCATGCACCTTAATATCTATATTTTTTTAATGTTTAACAGGCGGTATTAATGTAAATAACTATCTTTTAAAATATCCGCACATTTCTTCTAACCTAACCAAAAATAAATATCTCTTCAATCAAATATTTTAACCTAAACACAAAACTAATAACTCCCTTTATATATGCATGTGGGTTGAAATAAATACTCGTGTCTTACAAACTACTTGAATACAATGACAGTATTTTTCCGCTGATGATAAAAGATTTATCTTCCTGTCATACATAAACTTTAAGGTAAAACTACGACTCGATTCACTCTTTTTTACAGAAACAATAAAACATTTGTTTTCAGTGGAAAATCGGAACATTATTAATCAATGACAGCACTCACATACAGCACAAAATACTCACATACAAGACATATAAGAATTTATTGACGTACAATAATTTAAGACACATAAGAATAACATCAAGTTCACAGTTTATAGAAATTTCCAGAACAATATACACTGGTGTATAAAACTTAAGCAACAATGCAAATTTTAATCAGATAGTTATGAAATTCCAGGAAAGGAGTTCTTGCGATCAGTGCAATGAACACGCAATTCAGTAGAAAGGTCATGCGCATGCAAATGCAAGGAACAAAACATCGCAGGCGACGTAAGCGTACGCAAAACGTGTACAGTCGTCGCGTTCAACTCAAGACTAAATAAAAGGAAGGATAATAATTAAAGATTACAAAATAATTGAAGACATTCGCTGCAAGTACAAGTGAATTCTTTCGTGAACTATAGCTAGAAGAAATCCCCTGGAGAACTTCATACGAGGAAGAATGATAGGAAAGCTGGAAGAGGGGCGTAGTGTGACCAGAGTAGCTGAAGATTCCCGAATCAACAAAAGTGTCGTTTTGCGCGCTTGAATGCCTTCCAAACCATAGGTACAGTTGTTACAAAGGTTGATAGTGGCCGCTCCAGTACAAACACAGCAGTGGATAACCGATACATCCTCCTGCAGGCGAAACGAGCCCAAAACCAGTCAGCAAGCGTCATAGCTCAGCACCTTTATACAGTAACACGGCGACAAGTGTCGCGGTTTACTGTGTCCAGAGGCCTTGCCAAAGGTGGCCTATTCACCCGCCATCCTAAAAGCTACATCCCTTTGAAAGTTGACCATCGGCGCCACCGTTTGGAGTGGCGCAAGGAGCACAAAACCTGGACATCTCATCAATGGAATCGCGTCCTCTTTACGGATGAGAGTCGCTTTAGTGCAACAAGAGATTTTCAACGACAGTTGATTTCGAGAGAGGCTATAAAGCCATCAATTAGCTATAAAGTTGCACATATTTTGCAGAAATTTAACTTTCGAGTCGTTTATTCTCCCATCAATAAATTTCCGAGTTCCATACTCAAGGACCCCATTCCGGATATGAATTCCTGGGGTATTTATATAGGATTCCTTGCCAGTGTGGTTTAATTTACATTGGCCAAACTAAGAGAGCCTTAAAATTTCGCGTCAAGGAACATGAGGCATATGTTAGAAAAAAGGAAACACAGAAGTCTTCTGTTGCTCAACTTTGTTGGTCCGAAAATCACACTTTCAATTTTTCTGCTACCAAAATTATTCAAAAAACATCTTCCATTAGAGAACTGGATTTTCTAGAGGCATTTCACATTGAAAAAAATCTTTCTGTTCTAGTTAACGATCCTAATTCCAATCCATCTTTGCCTTCGGCCTTTAAAGAAATTATGTTTTAGTTCTAGTTTCACCAACAGATGACGCCACTTGCTTATTCTTGTACAGGCTTTCTTATCTTATCTAATCATTATTTCCTATCTTGTTCATTTGCGGTTTTGCAGCTGAAGATGGTGGTTCGGTAAAACCATCGAAACTAGTCCTGTGAAAATTTTGAATATATAACGCTGTTTGACTTTTGTTGTTTGACTTCTGAATTAATATGCCTTAAATTAAATTTTTCCTCTAATAAATTATTATATAGCATTTTTAATTAATAAATTACACTAATTACATAATACATACTTAATTAATCGCATACAGTAGGAATTGTTAGAATACTTTCATAAATTTTTATACGTTGATATTATTTTTAAGGCAAAAATTTTATTTTCATAATTCAAATTCTTTTGCCAAAGTTTAAGGGCTGTGATTAATTTGCAGCTCTTCATATAACGCAGTACTTTAATGAGTGGCTAATGCAGATGTAGTTAAATTTCATTTGCAGCAGAATTTGACATAACACAAGAGAAAATAAAAATTCAAAAGCTTGTGACCATCTGATAGAATAATTTACTGCAGCAGTATAAATAAACATAAGTAAAATCTAGACACTTCATTTTTGTTATGTACAATCACGAAACTTTTATTAAGTTTTTTAAATGAAGCATATTCTGATGTTCAAAAATAATATTTTTGTTGATGGAAATTAACTTTCCCCTGTTTGTATTAAATGTATAGTTAAGACATTTTGTCTAGTATGTGCTACAATCAAATATTTTCCGCTAATATATTTATTTTATGGCTATTTTACGTTATAGAACAATTCGCGCCAAATAATATTCCCTGGGAAGGATATATTCTACTGGTATTGCTCGTTGGCCACTTTTATGTAATACCGTTCTTATCTCTTATAAAATTTTGTAAACAGTATTATAAAGTATTTCTCTCGTCTTCCTAGCATGCCTTCGTGGTGTGGTGGTCTGCACGCTGGGTGCGTATTCCAGAGGTCCGTGGTTCGATTCCCCGTAAAGGCATTGCTCATTTTTCATCACTCCCGCTTCCAAAAAAATACCTAATGTTCCCACAGTATAACAAAACTTGTTCTTATCTCTTGTAACAACAAGCAAGTTGTAATTAAACTTTTGCAACAAAATTCTTATTTCCAAAGCAATTACTGTCATTACAAAGTTTTTTAAATGTATCATTCTATTATTTCCTTCTTTATGTGCTAAAATAACAATCCTAAGAGTTTTATTTCTGAAGTCTAGAAAACTTTTACTGTAATTGAAATAAGCTGATAACGAAACTGTGTTTGCATATATACATTATTAGCCAATTTGTAAAGGTTTATTTATAGTCCACAGCTTCTCAATGCATTAATTGTAAGAATAATTTGCCAAAACTTCAGACCGACATTTCTCCCACATAAATTCAAACATATAATAATGGCAGGCAAATATACCAAACGTCCCAGAGAAGGATACGTTTGGTTGATGACAGAATTGAAGGTACGTCCACCCCTATCGATCGGATCGACTACCCATAACCGTGAGGAGGCTGCATTCCTTAACTTGGAGCGAAATGCCAGGTCCGTAATTTCTCTGTCTCAGCCATCCGCGAACATTAATCATTGGCGACATCCTGTCAACTGCTGCTGTTGACGGTGTGCTGACGATAATTTCTCTCCCAAAGAGAATATTTTTTCGTCTTTATTTTCCCGCTTTCTTGGATGCTTTCCAAGAAGGTTACCGTTTAACAATTAGGGTACTTTTTAATTGTTTTTTAATTGCAAAAATTTTGAGCATTTCCAAGTGGCGTTACATTATTTTCGCGTGGCAACAAGAGATTGCTTAGAATGCATATAACGTATTGTCATTATTTCGCATTAACGAGTAGATACCTCATAAAAATGAATAAAAAAATGAATTAAAAAACACCAAAAAGAAAAACATTCATGCGATGGAAGTTTTCAGGAAACAAAAAGCGTTTTTTATAAAATAATGTTGTTTTCGAACACAGTTTTGGTTAATAAAGAATAAAATAAAAAGGATGCGTACGGCTGAAATAGAGAAAGATGTGCAATTATTTGCTCAAGATGAAAAAGTGAATTTTTTATGATAAGAAAAAGATGTATAGAATTGTGATTTTTTTATGATAAAACTGAATTTTCAAGCTTTTTTAAATATAACACCATTTAGAAATAATGCTGCAAAAGAGCAGTTGAGAGTATTTTGTATGTAGTCATTTGAGTGTGTTAGTTTGTAAATATATATAATTCAGCTTTATTTGTGCAGCATTTATTTATTTAAGCTTTTATCTCATCCTTGGCCTGTTTACCTGCATATGCGCATCATAAATATGATTGATTGAAGGCATTTTGATGAAATTCCGAGAATCTTTATTAATTCGTATATATATATAACCGAAAATTTTCTTTTTTAAAAACAAAAACGATATCATTTATTTTATAAGCTATTGTGTCAAGAAATGTTTTCGTTGATTTATATTTTTTTAGATTTTTAGATTTTTTAGATTTTAATAGGTAATTTTTTTAAATCATGCTTCTTTCAATTTGTGTCACTCAAATAAATAACTCAAATTTTATGCATTTTATGTATTACCCATAACTCATAAAATAATGCGAAAAACTGCGACTTTTGGATCATTCTGTAATTTATGTCACGAATTGTATATAACATTTAAGCGCATTTGTGTTCGACAAATGAGGGATATTTTTTAGTTTTACTGTATATTATCAGTAGTTTACAAAACTCGTTTTTACATCATTTTGGTATTCTTGATTACTGTAACTCTTGGCAGAATTTCTGTATTTGGGCGGCATATGGAGTAATATATCAGCACCTCTAGAACTGGAAACGCGTGTCATTGGCGATACACTAGTTTATGTTACAGGTGGTTTGGACACTAGCAATCTCCCGTTACTAGAAGCAAATATACAAGTTAAAATTTAGTGAAACGTCAAATTTGAAACTTCTTAATGGTGCGAGAAATCTATTATAAACAAT